TTTTTTTTTTTTTTTTTTCTATTGCTCTCTGCGCTCGATACTGACAGATACAAAAAAAATAGAACCAGTCCCAGACCTAGAACCCCTCCTCCGCCCTACCCGCTGGGGTGACATCGCCACATACACAGCTTTCGCACTCGGCGGGTCGATGCTCGGCGGCGAGATGGGTCTCTTGACCGGCTCGGCGTCCGCCACGAGGACCATCACCCGCGACCCTGATTCCCGGCAGCGCATCGAGGACGCCTTCCGCTTGTTCCAGATCGACGTGCTCAAGCGCCAGGTGAACATGTTGGAGCGAGGGCAGGGACAGGGGGATCGAATTCGGCGAGGAGGGCGGAGAGCGAGGCTAGCAGCACCTCCAGCTGGGATAGGCTGAAGGAGCAGGCGGGTGGCATGGTTAGCAGTTTGAAGCCTTCTTCTGATAACTTCTAAGTGGGTTATGTTCCGGAATTTTGCATTGATGGAGTTTGGGTTTCTTTTACCTCTAGGTTCTTACATCCTTGGATTCATGATCATAGTGGCCTTTTGCAACAGTTACGATAATGAACATGATTGATGACATGAATGCGTCGTGGGCTCGTGGCTTCGATCTGTACTAACCGCGGATGATTTGTTGGTCAATGTCTCCTAAGCACTTGTTCACCGAGGATGGGGGACCGTCGTAGGAAGACGACATCTTAAGGCTGCGTCCTCGCGTCTGTGAAAAGTGGTGTCTAGAACAAATCATCAGACGAGAAAATGCATAAGATGGCCCTTATGAAGGTCGAACCTAGAAGCTCCCCTCCAAAGAGGTGTTTCGCCGCTCACATCGGAACCACTGAGCTAAATGGGTTGCTCATAACCTCGTTGTTGCAAGGAAGACTTAGACTTGGTGCTTATATACTCCACCACACATGAACACACAAGATCCAAGCATGCACCAACAAGCACACAAGATCAAGCATGACAGAAAGGTCCGTGTAAGACTTGGAGAAACCCAAAGGCAACTTTCAATTTGGGTATGTACTACTTTTTGGTATCATCCCAAACCACACCGGCTAGCATCCATCAAGGCATTGAATAATCTATCGAGCCTGGTCACAGATCTGACTCGAAGCATAGCCGGCAACTAAAACCACCCGGAACACCGTGAACCAACCTGCTAGTATACGTCCAAGCATCGGCAAAGCCGACACGCCATGGAACCAGTCTCAATGGCCGGAAACCACTATAAACACGAACGAAACCAAGCAGTGTACTCATCAAATCATTCCATTTTTGCTACCCTTTGGCCTCCACATTTAGAGAGAGCCGGAAGCGTTGAAGTCCTTGAGGGCCTCCTCAACGCGGGCCTTCATGGTCTTCTCACCCTCGCGAACCCAGACGCGGGGGTCGTACTTCTTCTTGTTGGGCTTGTTGGCACCCTCGGGGTTGCCGACCTGGGTCTTGAGGTAGTCGATGTTGTTGACGACGTAGTCACGGACACCGGTCAGGTAGCCCCACTGGAGATCAGTGTCGACGTTGACCTTGACGACACCGTGGGAGATAGCCTCACGGTACTCCTCCTTGGAGGAGCCGGAACCGCCGTGGAAGACGAAGAAAACGGGCTTCTTGTCCTCACCGCCAAGCTTCTCGGAAACGTAAGCCTGGTGCTTGCCAAGGAGCTCGGGGTGGAGCTTGACGTTGCCAGGGGCATAGACACCGTGGACGTTACTGTCATCTTGTTAGTCATGGTGCATCGAGAACAAAGGCTAGGATGCGGTCTTACCCGAAGCCAGCGGCAATGGAGAAGTAGGGGGAGATGGGGCGGAAAGCCTGCTCGATCTGCCAGATATCCTCGGGCTGAGTGTAGAGAGAAGCGTTGTCAACGCCGGAGTTGTCAACACCGTCCTCCTCGCCACCCTGTTTGCAAGCGTTAGCTTTCTGTATAGGTATGCATTCGAGCATGCACATGTGGGTAATGACGTACGGTGATACCGATCTCCATCTCGAGCCACTGCTTCATGGGCGCCATGCGCTTGAGGTACCTGACGCAGGTCTCGATGTTCTCCTCGACGCTCTCCTCTGTAATAGCAAGTCAGTAAGCCGGCGCATTGGTGGTAACGGTCGCATTCATTTGGTTCAAGCTTACCAGAGAGATCGATCATGTGAGAAGAGAAGAGGGGAACGCCGTTGGCCTTGAAGAACTTCTCATCCTCATCGAGCATGCCGTCGAGCCAAGGAAGGAGCTTCTTGGCGCAGTGATCGGTGTGGACTAAAAGCATGTTAGCCTTTCCGCGCGCGAGCTGAAGCGACAGTGACAAGCTACTTACGAACGACGGGGACGCCGTAGATGGGGGCAATGGAGCGAATGTAGTGGGCAGCGGCGATGGCACCGGCAACAGAGGCCTCACGCTTCTCAGCAGAGTCCTTGATACCCTTGCCGGCGAAGTAGGCAGCACCACCCTGGGAAGTCTGGAGGATGATGGGAGCCTTCTGGTCACGAGCAGCCTCGAGGGCAGCGACGGCAGTAGAGGAAGAAGTGACGTTGCAGGCGGGAATGGCATAACCATTGGCGCGAGCGTGCTGGAAAAGCTTCAGGACGTCGTCGCCTAGAGGTTAAGAAGAATGTCAGATTTTGTTCATGTTCCGGTATCGGGCAGCGTATTTGCTTGGCCAAATCGTACCGTAGAGGACGCCAGCGGGAAGGTTGAGTTCCTGTTGAGGGTATCACCGTTAGATCACTTGAGCTTCGAGGCTATCCATTGTCAGGTTGAGGAAGGGGGAAACTTACATCGAAGACACCCATTTTGACTGTTGTTTCTTGTTGATCTGAAGATTAAGTTGCGTGACGCGGGGTAACTGGTGATGTAGAAAGGTGGAATAAGTACGAGAGCGCTTTCTAGGAATAGCAGTTGAGGGTATCACAAACGAAGTATGAAGAGAAGAAAAGAGGAAGACGGGACAGACTGGAAGCACTTACGGGTTTGCAGACTGCGGGAATTTGTATGACGGAGGGTTGATGTCCTGCTCAGGAGATTTGCGAAGAAGGGAGAAGAGAGAAACTGCAACAGGGACAGTCACACCCAACAATCAGTGGTTCAAGGACGAGGAAGGAGTGGAGGGATCGCAGGTCAGTCAGCGGGGCTGCCGAGCATAGCACCGACGCTCAAGCCGCGTTCTCATTGGCCAGGACACCCAAACAGAGCAAGAGCTGCGTCGTGCCCCTCACTAGTGGTCCAAGGTGGGGGTTTGACGACGGGCATTGAGCAGGGGAGCTGTCTCCAAAATGACAGGCCACTTGCAGCAACCGCAGCCCAGCTCGCCCAGACCCTCAAAAGAGTGGAAAGCGCCAAGCGGCCGTCTTCCCGACGCTTCCTTGTCAGTGTCGCGTCACTCCTGTCGGCTCTGTTGGCCTGCTGAGCGTGGTTCTTGTGTGTCTTGCCATCCGCAACCAGGTGGCTCCACTGCTACGGGACCGTCACATTCGTCTTGGCCATCGTCAACATGGGAGAAGAATTGGAGACTCTCAAATACTGTGTCGTCATACCGTGTTTTTGACATTGAATATTATCAAAAGTTGCTCGCTGTCTGGGTGTGCCGGCATGTTTGGAGGTTCAACTTTATCCAAACAACTAAATTCCAATACCGCCAGTCCAACAGTTCACAACCCCTTTCCATTCTTCCAACGGCTATTCCATATTCATCTCGTCAGTTCCAGAACTGAGGAGACCATATGCCGATGCAACCCCCGTACGGATGGTTGGACAACAAACAACCCTTGCCCTCGGGTCTCGTGGACGTCGAATGTGTCAAGACTTCCCCGAATTTGTCGTGGTTGGAGAACATGAAATGGAAAAGATCGGAATCTGGGGTACTGGATCGCGATGAATGACCTCGGTCCGACATGACACGACCACACCGCTCAACATCGCCAACACTCATCGTGATGGTGGTTTCCGGGCTGAATACGCTTCTGGCGTATATGATATAGAGCCGAACCCTCGTTGTCATCCCATGTCCACGACTACCTTGGCCTTTACGGTGGCAGCACAGCAAGCCAGACACGTTGACAATCGCGGAACGCGAAAACGCCAGCTTTGGAGTGATGGACAGTCAATCATCGGGGCATCTCGACCGACTGGGCACCACTCTGACACGAGCTGTCGAACTGAACAACAGGACTCGACCTGATGACCTCATTGGGAGCCACTTTGGATTGCACCTCCATTTGCGGAACCCTGTCGAGGAGCCTTGGGGACGCCGGGGCTCCCAGGGGAACCTCCCAAGTGGAATTTACCCCTGGATTGGTGTTTCTTCGGGTTCCATTCTCCCGTCTCTTCCCGGCGCGTGCTGCCTGTCTGCCCCCAAAATCCGAAAGTCCAGCTCACGGAACCGTTATCGCAAGGCCCGGGACTCCCCGGATGGAGACCCGCTTGCCCCGCATTCTTGCCCAAGTTCCCGTCCGGCTGCCGACGCAACGAACCGACCATGGGCCACGTGAACATGCTCCCGGGGTCGTGTTGTCGACACGGCAGTGTCATTGAATGCATCGAGATCCCGGTGGCTGTTTTTTTGTTGTTGTGATGTTTTGGTCCTTTGCCGCGAGGCTCTAGCCCGGAACTCAGAGACCGGCAGCTCGGTTACAAGGCTGAGCCTATTAGCCGACAGGGACTTTTCCCGCCTTCCCCCATTGGTTCCTTTTGCATTGGACATTCTCTCTTTGTGGTCTGTCTGCTCATCCTTTTTGATGAGAGCAGCCTGCTCTCTTTCCTGCGTGAAATTTCAGTTCTGATCAAGCACCACACTTCGGCTCGTTTAATGTTCTGTACCGGCAAGAACCTCAACTCCTTGGTCCATTTGCAATGGATGTCTCAACACACTACTCGACACGAAAGTCCTGGAATGCCTCGGCTGCCCGGATATTCCTGCCCTCGAACTTCCTGAGCGATCATCTATCCGGTTGCAGGAAAATTGTCGACTACGAGGCGTCGTTCTTCGATTGCGCCCTTGGTAGGTAAACTCCTGAGACGGCATCTTCGAGGCATTTTTTCGCCCAAGTTGCGCAAAAATCTCGGAGCGCTGTTTCCAGCCCTTTCCCAGACCACGCGGAAATGAGGATTTCGTTCAACCGTGGAAGGGGATAAGTGATATGGCTGACCCCTCTACGCAGATTGCCCGCCTTGACGAGTGTCGCGTCGCAAAATCCTCGGATCGGAACCCATCTCGCTAGTTACTTCCTCTTTCTTGCAAGCGCAAGCGGCTATCGGTCGACAAAGACACTTCACACGCACAAATATGCATACATCCCAGTGGGAACGACAGGGAACAAGCCGGGGGCTTCAAAAACTTTGATTCCGGACCTCCAGCATCAGCACATCTACCACATCTAAAGACGGCTAGCAAAGCCACCAAACGCGTCAAGCATCATGACCTTGATGGGCTTAGCAAAGAGATCCTCCTTCTGGCCGAGCTCGACCAACTCAGCGAATTTGGGGCTGTTCTTATGAGCCTCGACGGCGGCCATGTCGGCGTAGCTGCGGAAGAGGAGGTGTCAGCTACGGAGTATAGATGGGGCTGGATGCATAAATAGCACTGGGGTATGGACATGAACATGGAAGACCTCTAGCACCCAGACCGATCACCACCACGGACCGGGCCGAAGAAACAGGTTGGTTCCTTGGACCTTGGTTGTGTGGGCTGGACTTGAGATGCTGCTGGCTGCGAGAAGGACAAGAAAAAGAAACTTACGACTCCTGAACAATAAAAACGGGTTTATCGTCCTCGGTCGAAGCGGACCAGTGGTACTGAAGAGTGCCGGGCTCGTTGGCCTTGACCCACTCGGCGGTGTCCTTGCCGACTTCCTTGAGCTGTTCAAGCAGAAGAGGAATATGAATATTAGTACAAGGACAAAGGACAACGGGAAACTGTCAGAACTGGAGATATCATCGGTCATCCGCTCGTTTGCGAGAACATGGAGAAGGCGTGAACTTTCAATGCATCATTCATGCTGCGGACTGGAATGCTGAAAAGGCGTGGGAGACAAGGCTGATTTATGGCCAGTTCAGTTGTATGCGCGGGTCGGACTTGATAATTGATGCCCCTGGGGCTATGAGGTGGTGATGGTATGGCCCGGGCGTATTGCAGGTAAGGTAACCCAGGGCAGTCGGCCCTTCTCGTGGCTTGACATTGATGGTTTCGCGGTTGCAAGTGCTCAGTCGTTGACGGGACTGGAAGCAGCGAATGTTCCCGAAAGTGCCCGGGGATATCATGCCCAGATGCACCTCTTCATGTAAGGTACCTCCCATATTCATGCACCTCTTTATCTCCAGCAGGGACATGAAGCCCCTTCCTGTTCTCCGTTCAACAGGCAGGGGCAGTTCAACAATCCAGAAGAAACCAACTTACGCGCTCAACCTTGTCCTCCTTGGGATAAATGAAAGCAATCAGGGAGATAGTCATTTTGGCTGTTTATACGGGCTGTTGTTATAAGTGTGGATGGTGATCTGTTGTCGTCTGGTGGTGAGATTGATGCAACGAGCTGAATGAGTGACACCAGGACGGTGAGATCGACGGCAGGCGGGAACAGCGGGGTCTTTAAAGCCAAATCCAGATACGGGCCCCTATTCAAAGGAAAAGGTGGAGAGGCGCGAACCGAGGCACCCCCCTGAGAGAAGCATTAATAAGCCATCGCTGTTGACAAACCCTGTATGACAGCGGCGACATCCAGATGGAAGTGGTACTTATTTGATGCGGAGGACTTGAGAAGGAATGCAGGTTGAATCCGCCATAGCGAATGAATCAAAACTACCGATGACCGATCAACATGTTTTGTAAAAAATCAGCAACTGGCTAAGACATCCAGGGGTCACCTCAGGCCGTCGGATTGTCAGACACTGGAAGTAGAATCGGAAGTCACCCCATAAACCCCACTACTAACCCCACTTCCCAAGCTTCCAAGCTCCTCATGAGCTCCCATGAGCTCCCCACCCCCAAGCTCCAATATGAGGGGTAGCTCCAACATCCATCTTCAACAACAACCACTACTAGTCACTTTGGCGGAGTGGTTAACGCGCTGCCCTGCTATTCGTAAGAAAGCAAGTTTAGGCAGTTCCCTCGGGAGCACAGGTTCGAATCCTGTAGGTGACGCATTATTTTTTCTTTATGCTCTTTTTTGCTCATTTCTCTCTTGATCTAGTTAATGGGATGTCTTCTTGACGCTGTTGCCAATGTCGTCGTTGATGTTTGCGTCTTTGCTCCTCTTTTCTGTCAGCAGCTGGTGGGAGCGGTAAGTAGGGACATGGCCGAGCTTTTGTTGGATGTCTTTATGATGTGGCCTGTCAAGTTGTTAATTCTCGTTGCTGGTGCTTGCTTGGATGGAATATTGCAATGTACATCCGTCACTCGGTTCAAGACACATATTGAAAGTTCGTGGGCGCGAGACCTCTTGTCAGCTACCATGTCTCTGCATTTCTATATCTCGTTGTCTTTTTCCGCATGTATAATAGAGGTGCAGGATGGGCTCGATCAAGTACAAATACATGGTGTCATAAATGAGCATAGCATTCATGGCGTGGATTAGGCGTCTGACATTCTCCTTACATCGTCTTCAACATGCGACAGCTTCTGGTGTCTCCTCTCCTCCTCCTCTATCCGAAGGGACATACCACTGAATATCCCATATCAAGTCAGTTAATCATGGTCTAGCTGATCAACCTTGTCCGCACAACACGCGCAATGAACGCCTTTCCTTGACCCCCAGTGAACCAACATTCAGTGCCATGGCGTATTGGAATCCCGGCAATGGCTCAAGAAACTCGCTGGTCAATCCTTCGCGTTGCTTGCCCAACTGGCTCAGTGCGTCCCGGGAGCCAATAAACCATTCTGTGAATGCGGGTTCCGACAATAGCGAAGCCTGTTTCTTCAGGGCGGCTAGGTCATGCTCCCACGCCCATTTCTCGCCCTTCATAGCCCTTCTCTGAATGATAGATCTCATCATGATGTCAATCGCAATATCCTGAGGCAGTATCAAGGTGCTGGTGACCTCGCCCGCCTCACTCCTTGTCTTCCGAACTTCGTTCAAGTGAGGTTCTTGAGGTAGGTCCTTAAGCTTCCAGAGTAGTCGATATGCCAGCGACAAACAGTCGTAGGTGTCAATGTTGATCAGCTTGTCAACCCACGGAAGAAGACGGCCGCGATACTCTTTGATCCAGATCGATGTCCACTGAGCATTGATGCCCCCGTGACGGGCATGTCCAGGTCCCAGTGACTCGCCCATGAACCGATGCGGACTCTTCACAACTCCGGAGGCATTTGCAGTGCGAAAGCATCCTTCAGTTCCTGTCGTCTGCAAGGGAGTCCTGGGGCCTCAAGATGCCAATCTGCCGCTTCCGCCCCTGCACTACACTGGGCACAATAACCGAACAGCTGGTTTAGATCACCGTCGGATATGGAAATGATAGTCCTAGCGGGCACGTTGTGCCCTTCTGCATGTTGAGGCTCTGGGTGATTGAACTGGATGGGAGGCAGAGTGCGCTGCGGCGGAGTGTTGACGAGTGTCTCCTCTTCAACCCTTCCTCCTTCTTCAACGTCCAGGGAAGAACGACCGTGATGTAGCTCTGGTATGACGAACTGTTACAAGCACAGGAGTATTATCGCTGGGATAGAACAATAGAGTAACAGAGTAGTAGCCGAAATATACTGATGTATTGTGATAGCTATTGCTTGCTGAGGAGCCCAGTATTCAGAAGGTCTGGGAGGCCTTCTTTATATACTGGTCCTTCAGTATGCGCCGTTGCGTCGGTGAGGCCATTCCCGGCCACCCAGCGCCCCCTTGGCCGTGGCCGCGGCGCCATTAGTCTACGGCGCCGGCGCCCGGCGCGGCTCTGATTGGTCTATCTAAATGCTTACATAGGTGATTCCTTATTGGATCGTAACATCTGGGACCTCCAGGGAACAACCAAAGCGTGGCTCTGGGAGAGAACATGATCAGCATCAACCATCAGTTGCAAAGACTCTTAATGACCTTGATTGATCAAAGGTAAGAAGGAACGGACGACGAAAGGAAAGAAGGAACAGCATGTGGAGAGGATCAAATGCCATGGTGATGGTATGTAGAAAAATGCAAAGAAAACAGACATCTTTAGACACTCAACAGCACATGTCAGGAGGGTTGTGCAGGAAACTGAATGTACTCACTCTTGGCTGGGTTAGGGAGCGGCCCGTGAGAACCGGTGTTCTCGTTGGCTTCCGGGACCCTGTCCCGCTTGGACGTGGCAACAATTGCTGCTCCTCCAGAGCGATGCCGGTCATTCGAGCGTGGCTGGTTCTCGCCTGTCATTCCTTGTGATCCCGGGACTTCCAATGGGGTTGCCATTGCTCTTAGGGCCGCCGCCGCAAGGAAGGGATGGTTGCTGACACGCATTGAGCAGTTTGGTCCTGTCAGTCGTGCTTGAAAGAATGCGTATAAGAAAGACAGATGGAGAATGAAGAGTTGTAAGTGGAGAGAAGGAGGCCGTTCGGATCCTGAAGATTGAAAGCAATCGAGTGCGGAGCGGAAATATCTGTGATCGAGCAGGTGGGCTGCACTGTCATTTCTGCCTGGCATCGTGTCCGGGTGGCAGTCCCTTCCCATTCATGTGCTCTTGAAGTTGGCTCCTGCCTTCTCAAGAGCTCCATGACTACACACTGCACCTTATGATCAGCTCAGGAGCACCAAACTTCCTCATCATTCCTTCCAAGTACTTGTAGCTCAGGTGACTGTGTGCCCGGGACCGATCCAGTTCGCTCTTGCATCTTTCTCCCGGCATGGACGAAGGAGCAGGCCATTGCTCTCCGCCCAACTTCTCCGGTGCATCCTCTCTTCTTTGTTCCTTGTGCGCAGCCTCGAGATGCAGTGCAAGAAGGAATTGAACGGCTGTCAATGGGTAGAATCTTTAAAAGACAAAACGGGATAGCCATAAAGGTTTGTCGAGTGCCTTTCCTTCTTGATAGTCGTCCTTCAGCTGCTGGTGCGCACATGTCACACGGACATATGCTACACTCCTGGTGGCATACGGGCATATGCCACACTCCTGGTGTGAAACGGGCATATGCCACACTCCTGGTGTCAAACGGACATATGCCACACTCCTGGTGTCATACGAGAAAGACCTACATGTATGCAGATCGCTAGATGCCTTGGAGCCTCAGGTGACAAGGACCCGTATGTACTAGATAGGTACCGTTTCCCTTTTGGCATAAGAAGGCCTTGAAGCCCAGCCTTCCTCTAGAGGTTGAAAGAACCAACAAGGCCTTCGAGACCAAAGTAGTTTATCAGCGGAATTGAACTATTTGTTCCAAGCTCAGAAACCTGCCCTTGTCACAGCACAAGTCTCAGCACAAAAGGTTAAGAGCAAAGGTGAAAGTCGGGTGGGAAAGTGGCTGCTTCGTTGCTCCCGCATGTTCTTTTAAGTTGACGGTCGCGGCAGGTGTGAACAAGCGCGGGTTCCTACCCAGAGACGGACCGCCTGGTAAGAATCGCGGAGAACAGGGAAAGCGAGGCCGATGCCCGTTTGCTGTTGCAAACAGGAAGTCCAGTCGTTCATTCCACGCGTTCCTTCCCGTAGGAAAACACCGGTTGCCCTAACAGAATTCCCCCAAAGGACGGTACGCCTCTGATAGTTCCCAGGTCTCGCAGTAACACAGGCAGGTTTGTCCGTCGAGTCCAGTCTCCGAGAGCCGCTTGCCATCGTGAAAAACATGTCCGCCGCTGCAGCTTGAGCGTCATCGTCGGAAAAAGCCCGTGGAGGGGCAGGTTCCAAGGTATCTGTACCTGTATCGCCACCCCCACTTGTCCCATTTCCTCCAACTGCCCCATTCCTTTTCCCAAGTCCATAATCTCGTTTCTGACAGCTTCTGCCCAGGTCCGAGGAGCCGGTCCTTATCCGTAAACACCGAGGACGCTACACGGAGCTCCAATAGGCAACGCCAAAACCCGAACGCGAAGAAACCGGGAGCAGTAGGAGCCTTGTCACCGTAATTCTAAAGGTTACCCGCGGGCAGATTCAAGGTTTTGGTCTCTCGCTCTTGACCGAACACAAGGAGGTGGTGTTGAAAAGCTGGATCTGCTCGCTGAAAGGCTCATCGTGGCCGCTGAAGCTAAAGAGCGCACAGGCTGTTCTGGCAGAGCTCCTCGCATTGCTCCGTCGGTCCCCGACAGCTATGCGAGCCTGTTCCCCCACTTCTGGGGTTATTCACGCAAAGAGGCCGCCGTGAAGGACCTTGTCGCTCCCTTGTTGCAGTCGCCGGTACATGGAGCGGCGTTAGAGCTGGCGGGACGCTGGTAAAACTGCTGCGGACTTGAACTGGAAACTGCTAGATTGTGTGTTCCTAGATATTTTGGTCCTGGAACTGGCGTACTGCGTTGTCCCGGCACAAGGTCAGGGAAACAAGATTCTGCACCATGGATTTGGTTGTTCGCTTGGAACCGGATTATGTTGTGTCGCTTTCTTAGGAGGGGGCTGAGGAGCATATGCTGGTCTGGACTAGAATGTTCGAATGCTGCACAAGGAGCATGCTTTCGTTTCGCCCGCATGCCTTTTGCTGTCCTTCCTTGGAAATGTTCGTGAGCATCCACTTAGACCACTCCGGCAGAGTGGCAATGCTGATAAGGACACGTATGCGGCAGTCGACCAAGGCCTCGGGGCTGTGCGATAGCCGGAGATTGAGCTACAGGTCCCAGAGTGAGTCACGTTCCACACAAAGCTCCCGGGGAACCTCCGGTGCCATGGAGGGAGGAGGCATGCATCGAATCGAAGACGTTCTGCTCGGTTCCTCGCCCTCGTCCACCATCTGCACACCTTGATTCTGTGCATCTTTGGCCTTCGTCATATCCCCTCCACAGGGTGGCAGAAGTATGCTAGACCTCGCCACCCTCCACCCCGCCGCTCCTCAACCCCCCTCTTGCTCCTCAACCCCCCTCTTGCTCCCACCAGCATTGGTACTTTCCACGCCGTTACCTCATTCGTAGGGCTCCAGCGGGGCAAAGACGCACTCGGAAAGGGAATGACAAAAGTCGGGGTTGCTGCACAGGGAGTTACCAGGCTCCTCGTTTCGCAGCCCCTTCTTCGGTTGTAGCTCGGCGCCTATCTCGCTGTTAGCTCGGGTCTGTTTCACGACTGTTTTGCGTCCATCTTCTCTCTTCGGAAGTGTACTCGTGCTTGTACTCGCTATCCTTGGGGCCGGACGATTTGTGAACGTGTTCCCTTCCGTCTACTCTCTCACTTGAAGGAGGCAGCTGGATGCCAATGTCCATCATACCGCCCGTTCCAATCTTGAGCTTGTTAGCATTGCCGTTAACGGCGGTGCTGACTGCTTCGTTATTCCCTCCCATTGTAACAATGTGGAGGTGGTGTTCTGTTGTAATTTGTGAATGAACCCATGGAAGAGATAAGCCGTAATACTTCCATGGAGAGGGAAAGAGGAAGAAGAGAGTTCACATGGGCAATCATGAAAAGAAATAGCCTATTAAGTAGCCTCGTTATCTGTGCTCCTCGACGCACACTCCGTCACATGTCCAGAAGTCTGACAAATCGTCAATTTTTCTCACGGGCATAAGTACCTCTAGCTACCAACATTGAATCCCAGTGCTTCCTTGTCCTTTGCCAAGGTCTACCTACATGTCACCCACATTCTCAATCGATTGTTGTACTGCCCATATTTTCCCATCGCACGCTGGCATGGCAGCACGCAAAGGACAAGTGGCTATGCCGACTTCAAATCTAACCGAGGAGTTTTCTTGATTTTCCCTACATTTAAGGTACCGGAAGATGACAAGACCCCGCATGTGGTCCAGCACAAACCCAGTTTGTTCTTTTTCTTTTTTTCTTTTTATTGTTTTTTGACAAATCACCAAACAAGCTCCTGTCTAAGCCACGTCGAGTTTATGTTGAGACGAAAGCTGTAGCGTATCTTGAGCAATGGTTCGTGGATTTCGTAATAAGCGTTCCTATCACATGTTTTCCCCCCCCATGTCCATGTCTCATCGAAAGATTGCCGTCCATGAAAATGGCTTCTCGACGGCGGATCGGCAAGGTGACGAGAGATATCAAGTTTGCTTTGTAAACTATCTCCAAGGAGACTACACCAGTGCCTCTTTTCTTGCACCGTACCTTTGGCATGATGTGATAGAATACGGGCGAGTGTTTGGGTCTTTGTAGTGGCTATTTAGAAAATGTCCGAAGCATGTAATAAAGTCCCTGTCCCTTTGCATTGCATATTCCAGTCTGCCCGGGCAGATAAATGCGGCAGATACCAGGAAAATATTCCAAATATTTCGCGCATTGACCCTACTGCATACTCCATGCACATGGTTGAATCGTGTTCTGAATGTTTCCTGCGTGTTAGGCACCGCACTGGTTCTGCTTGCTAACAACCCAGGTGGTACCTGACTGGCGGAGACCAGTACCTATCAATATACCCAGTGCAACCATAGGCACAGTAGGAGCAATAAACAAGGCACGCAGGTACCTCACAGGCCTGACAGGTATATAACTGCGGGTTCCCTGCTCTCTAACACCAGTAGCTTTTCTCAACAATCTGTCGCACTTCTATACATTCAAAGTCACTTCAAGCGCCACGCTTACACCACGTATAAATGTCGACCTTCCCCTACACAGCCTTTCGATATCGACAGGCCTGTCTCTCCCTTTCGTCTCTTCGACGTTAGCAACGTTAGCCGCCTTATCCAAAAGAGACGCCCACTCAACCAGTGCACCAAATGCCTACAATGGCACGGCCGCAAGGGATGCACCCGGAAAGCGCGATGCTCTCAATGTGGACATGTTGCCCATGGCGAGTGTGACCGCCACATCCAATGCGCCAACTGCCGAGGCCCTTTTGAATCTACCCACGACGATTGCCCTATGCGGCCAAAACGCAAGGGAGACATTGTCGTCCGCCCGACCCCACAGCAGCGTAAGGACATTTGCCGCAACGGCGGTACTCTTTTCACTGAGAAATACAACCGCCCCGCCCCCCGTGACAGCCAGGAAGATACCGCCATGTCTTCCGATGAGTTGCCCAGCCAGAGCTCCGGCCCCTCCGGCCCTGAGAACTCCGACAGCCCTGACCAGACACAGCCCTCAGCTAATGAGGATACGATAGTGGTCCAGCTGAACGAGCGCACGTCTTCCGACGACGCAGTCCGCCGCTCTGGCCGCCACAGAACGCTCTCCAAGAGGGCCGCTGACTTATGAGTGGACACTTGACCCCTTCTCGCGATAACTTGAACAATTCTAGACTACGGATGTTTCAGGCTAACGTAGCGCGAGCACGCGACACGCACGATATTGCCCTCCAAGCTGCAAGTGAGGCTGGAGCGGACGTGATTATGATCCAAGAGCCACGAGTGTGGTTCCACGAGGGCCGCTTTGGTATTCCCGGACACCCCCTTTACGCTCTTTACACCCCTGTCCGCACATGGACAGAAGAAACTGCTACCCACCCACGCATCGCTACGTACGT